TTATAAAAAATATTGAGAAGCCCAAATTGCCCAAACTAGTTTGGGCTTTGAGAAACAGTTTGGACCAGAAACCTTACCCAAGACCAATCTATACTGGAAGTGAATAAAATATTTAGAATAAAATCACTTCCATGACTTTATCACTCATTAATTTTTCTCTTGCTGTCATTAAGTTTAATAAGTTTAATCTTTTTTCCACTTTTAAAGTAAAAAAGTACTAAAATAATTTATATACTTAATACACCCTTATAAAAGGTATAAGTATATTAAAAGAATATATAAAAAAAAAGAATAAACATGGTAAACATTATAAACAAACAACAACAAGCAAACAAAACACTAATGAATGAAATAGAATTATTGAAGAAACAATTAGTTGAAAAAGAAGAAAACTTTAAGAATTTGAAATGCTGCTCACAGCTTACTGAAAGTTCAGGATATATTGAAACAAGTTTAAGAACCTTAGAAAGATTTACTTGACCTAACAATGGTTGAGTAAGTTATCCAAAAAAGAATGGAATTGAAATTGGAAGAGTTGTTTTCAGTGATGGATTCACTCCTGAAAATATTGTTAAAAGTTTTGGTAGTGAAGCATTAAATTATGAAGAAGCTTTTGGTTTTACTTACCAAGAAAAAGAGGAATTAAAAGAAAAGAATGCTGTTTTAGAAGAAAAAGTTGCTGAATTAGAAGCAAAGCAAAAAGAACTGGAAATAAAAGTAGAAGAGTTGGAAGATGAAGTGGAAATGGAGCGAGAGGAAGCTGAAAAGGCATTAAACACAGCTATGAAGTGGAGAAAATGCCAAATGAATGAAATGATACTAAAACATGATGCTGCAATGGGCAAACTCTTAGACCAAATAGATTTGTTGGAAAATAACTTGTCAGCTAAAAATCAGGAAATAAACTGAAGAGATAATTTAGCAAACAAAGAATTACCAGCTTTACCAAAACGACAAAAAGAAAACAGATTACAAAAGTTTAAATAAAGCAAAATAAAAAATTAAAGAGAAATTCCAAGCTTTTATTATTCAGAAAAGTAAGTAGATTAATATGAAATTAGAATAGAGAGTTCTGGAAATAGCAAAGGGAGATGAACAAGAGTGTAACTTCTGTTTTCTAGATTTTGATGACCCAACTCTTCTTAATTATGATACTGCTCCTGCTACTCATCAAATAGTGGCTTGTAATACTCCTGATGGTTATTCTGACTTTGCCTTTATCTGTGGTGAATGTAAAAATGATTATGATAATAATACTCTTCCATGATGTGAGAAAATGTGGTAGGTTAAAAAGGAATAGAAACAGATGTTTTTGTAGTCATTTAAAAAATAAATCAATTAAACCACTTTCTGACAAAGAACTACTTTCACAAGCTTTCAGTTTTCGCCTAGAAAATAAAGCTAGAGAACTAGAAAAAGAGTTATCAATAACCAAAGAAGAATTAAAAATTGAAAGAGAAGAAATAGCTAAGTTTCAGGAAAAATCTGAAGAGTGAAGTAAAAAGCAAAAACAGGAATTATTAGATAAGGTAAAGGGTTCAGAAGAAAGAATTAAACAACTACCCTATAAAAAATAACATACGGAATTTCCGTATTTAAAGTACGTTCTTAAAAAATAAATACGGAATTAACGTATTTA